CAGCTAAAGCTCTGATACGTGTCGACCGATGGATTATGTGTTAGGGTGGGTGACCAAGTGTTGGGCCAATGGACAACCTAAATGGATTAGCGTTCAGCTTGATGTCTAGTTCCCCTGGTTCGATTCACGTGCTGATCTCTGTCGAACGTCGTCTGCACCTTCCGCCCGTCGAATCGGAACCGTGAGTGCTTGTGTCAGGCATCGTCACAAAATTGAACTGGCACACATGAATGCACCCAGGCTCATCAGATCATATAAACATACAGAATTTGGGTTTACTATTTCTTACGAATCAGAGTCCATCGCGAAAATGTGTGCGGGGACGAATTCAGTGAGATACAAGTAGGGCTACACAGTGGACACTAAGCGTTGTGAAAAAGCGCTGGTTCAGAATAGCGCATATGTTGACCTCGTTAATTCTGAGAGTCTCGATTCACGCATCCCTCTACCTCACAAAACTGCTGTTGGATAAAATCATAGGGCGTTGGAAAGATTGTTCAAACCAAACACCCAATACGATATTTCATTACGCAATGTCACAATATCAGATTACACATAATTTGCACTTTTAGCTGATTTCAACCCAAATAGTGCAGTTGCTTCTGAGGATCCATGTGCATTGTAGCTGCCTCGTGAATTTTTCATCCGCTCAGGTAGCGGGATGCCAGGGGCAACAATATTGTGCTTACATTACTTGTGACCACGTTAAAGTAGTTGGATTCTATTCTGCCACGGAAATCCTCTCTTGCCCTGTATTTGAGTACGGTTGTGCAAGCAACGCAATCCGTCAAGACAAATCGGAATGTAAGTGGAGGGATTCGCAGAGCAGAGTGCGCAGTGGATTGGAAAACTATGGTCCACATATTTTTATCCGGATGCATTTATGCCAATAATCTTGAACCCATTTGCCGGATCGGTGCAGCAGATGATTAGCTGTCAGTCCAGCATTGAGATATGTTCTACCGCACGTACCATGCAGAAGTCGGCGTAAGGCAACCAAAAAATACCTGGAAAGATGAGCGACTATTAGGAAACCACCAAACAGTTGCAATTTTCGAACCATTAATAGGAGCCATATGATCGACAAACTAAGTTAAACTATTCATTTTGTTCAGCATATTTTGATTGAAAATAAGAGATGAGCGATAGGAAACCACCAAACAGTTGCAATTTTCGAACCATTAATAGGAGCCATATGATCGACAAACTAAGTTAAACTATTCATTCATTTCAGCATATTTTGATTGAAAATAAGCACGGCAGTCGGGAGCACATTGATCGTGCAAAATATACAGAACAATACTACCCAGGCATACACAGCCTGAGATTTGTTGTCCCAGGTTTCATTCAGGCACCGGTGGCCACGTAGGCTTGTGTTCTCCAGAAGGATCCAGCTTGTCACAGTTATGGTTATGCTTTCTTATGTCAGTGAACTTCATGCATGTACCAGGCGTGTGTTTTGTTTAGATGGCCCACAGAATAGATGAGGATGACATGACATTCATCAAACCATCATCCGGATTTGGACAATCTGCATCGCCGGTCTTCGAATAGTGTCGAGTCATCGGCACTTCCATTAGCGAATTCAGCATACGGTTGAAACTAGCAAATTTTGCACAATCACAGTTTCAGCCAATCATTCATGCTTTTGGGCGATCATGTAAAGGATTTCGATCCGCGTTTTTTGCGTAACACGATAACAACATGGTCGATGAAGCATCCTCATTTTGCACTCTGCCGATGCGACCACCTCAGCCCAGACTACTCAGTCAGCTTGTAGCCGAAGAATCTCACAGATTGTTCCCGCTTATTTACACTTGGCCCACGTGGATCTCATCTGCTCGATGCTTTTCCCCAACTTGTTGTTCTGACTTTACAGAGATTAAGTGATAAGTTCACGGCAAATCCATACCGTTCACCTGGATCGATTGAAACGACTCATCCGTCACGACGAAATTTTTAACAGGGCAATACTTCCTCCTCATTTGGATGATAATCCGTGGAAAGAAGCCCCAACACCCGCTTGGGCACTTCTGACAAAGACACCAATGCCCAGTAGGTTTAATTATATACTCATCGTTCAGCAGCTAGAAATTCAGACGAATAATGAATAAGGTCACGAGTATGGTGCAAGGGGTATACGAGTAGATATTGTAACATTCTGTGCGGGCCCAGTTCTTCCATAACCATCTCTGTAGACAACAAATGCGTGAATTAAACTGATTGGATTGGTGCTACTAAACCGGTGGTTACCATTAGATGGATATTCTCAGTGCACACTTGGGTGGGTACTTCCTACTT